ATGGGGTAGAATTTTTAAATAATAATTTATGAAAAAAAAAACGCATTCGGTAATGCTAATTTATCATTAATCATACTTACGGCTAAAAAAAGGAATTAATATTTCAGAGTTTTCTGTTAGAAAAATATCATTTCACGAGGTAGCTTTCCGTATATTTTAGTATAAAATGTTTGTACACATATAATGATGTAACGTTATAATGTATGTTATGGAAAGGTCGTGACATTTGACTGAAAATCATTAATGCATTCTGAATAATTTCGTTAATTTAATAACATGGACAGCGCGAAGGATTTACTTGCTTTCAATTTATATTAGCATGTTGTTGGAACTTCACAAGAATAGCGGTGACGTGATCGAAATGCGAGTTGATAGTTTTGAGAGTATAAAGTGTGTTGTGCATTCGCGGCGAATGTAAATGTGTGCAGTAAATTGTGCTATTCTGAGGTGACGAGCAGTTGCAATATTTCTTAACGAGGTCGTCCTACGACAAAATTGTAATCGTGTTGAGTTGTCGTTTTGCAAAAGAGAAAAAATGGACCTTCTTTCTCTCTCACTGCAGACCGCAGTCCGTACAGTTGGGTTTTCTTCCGCCGCGAACGCCGCCGAATACAAATTGATTGTGCCCTTAAGCCGCGTAGGCGACCTCGTCGTTTTTATTGCAGTCACGTGCCGTTTTTCCAGGCACTTTTACTATTTTTCCACATAAGAGAGATGCGCATCCGATATTTTCTCACCGACGCTTTTCTTTCGACCCTTTTACATACACCGTGCCCCAGAAGAAAAGGTCAATGCTTCCAGAGGTAGTAGCATCAAGTATATAGCAAGTAGATAAAAAGTTTTCCACATAAATATGCTTTATAAAGTTGTAAAGCATTTATAAAGCTTATATATGTCATTAGACTTAAATCACCATAATTTTCTAAATCTTAAGAAATTGTTAGCTATTGACCTGCTACAAATATAAGGAAGGATTGCCTATACATATTTATAAACAAATATGTGTATATCGATTATTCACAGGTTCTTTACTCGTAATATGCAATACTATTATATCACTTACCGAACTATGACCTTTCTTCTACGACATCGTGTATAGATAAACTTCCTAGGACTCAAAGAAGAGCCGATGTTAGTTTTTTTCTCATTGTCGCCAAGTAAAGCCTTGGATGTATTTAATTTTCAATGCGGTTCACATCTCTTTACGATTTTTTTTTGCAACTCTATGCAGAGATATTCTTTCTTTCATAATCAAATTAACTTTTGTGGCATTAAATACAGGAGAATTAAATAAAGGACAAATATTAAAAAGTATCATCGCAGCACATCTTTTGATGAATAAATATATTAAAAATTGTCAAGTTTTTCGTCATGGACGAATAGATAAAAACTGCTTCATTAAGAAACAAGTTAGATGATACAACTTTTATTGAATTTATTAAAACAAACATCGCGCATAACAAGATTTGGTCACGAATATTTATCTTTTAAAAATGAAATAAAATTCATAAAAAAATTTATTTCAAGAATATGATTTTTGTACGTTAATTAAGATAGACAACTAGAATAAATATTCACAAGATCATAAATTTCAATTTCTTAATATTGCACTTTTAATTAAGATAAATAAATATTCACAAAATCATCAATCTCAATTTCTTAATATTACACCGCTTGATCTTTCTTACGATCAGAATTTCATGCTATTCGTCGACATTAAGCTTTGAAACACGAAATCAACGGATTATGTACAGATGATTTTATGACTGGACTGCTGTAGTTCTTCTTGATCATGATACTATAAAACTTTATGCCCCGCTTTTACATTTAAACGAAGCTTGTTCTCGTTCTGGAAGAAATAAATATCGTCTTGCTCATCGTCATTATAACTGCGGTGATACTTTTACGTGATTAAAGATGATTAAAAAAAGAATATATTTTATCCTTTCAAAGCTCTTTTTGATGAAAACACGAATAATAAACAAAAGTCCCGTGATAGCCGGAGAAATTAAATCCTGCAAAAGACTGTTCTGTAATTCGTATTCTCTTGTATCTATAACGAGACACGTTAACTTCCATTTTCTAACACATTGACACGAAAAACAAGCGGACAACAGCCGGTACACCCACCCTTTTTCACTATCTCTGTCTCCCTCTCTACCTCTCCACGTCAAAACCAGTTAACGGAGGTCAAAGGTATCGCTCGGTTCAATTTATGTTCATATAGTAACTCCGCAATTCTACCCTGATACGTATATGATACATATTCATGAGCACCTGGCAATGCTTTGCACGAAGGACGCGCCATGGGCCTCCTCCCTTTGGTAGATCGAAAGTATCTGTGTTGGTTTACCATCGTGTCGATTGTGTTTGTCGTGTGACTAGGCCAGCTGTTCCGTCGGTGGCCGCTTGCGATTGAGAACGCTGATAATTTTAGACCTTATACTATAACAATATACAGCTGTATTCGGTTTACAGTAAAGGTACACTGTTAAAAGAAAGAAATTCATTTCTATTACATTTAACAGAAGCAAATTTCAAACAGATTTATAAAAAAACATTTAAGTTGGGTTGTTCCATCTTTCGATAAACTTCAGCTCACTATCTTACTCTCTTGAGATCCATTTCACGTATGGTATATCATTTTATCCTTGTTGTTCATCGAATATTAAATGAAGATAAAAGATATATCATGCGTATCATGCGTGAAACAGAACGCAACCTTAAGGCCGTAGCACAGACTTTTGCATAACGCATTATAGTGCACAATCGAATCAACTAATCAGAATCTTTCCTTTCCTCCTATTCCAAGTAAAAGAAGAATTTTAATTGGTTGATTCCTTTATGCACTATGCATTATGCGTTATGCAAGGGTCTGTGCTGCGGCCATTACTCTCTTACGCTCTTACTCTTTTACTCTTTTGTTTATCCAGAAGGTAAATTACCACATAGTTTCATCCGAAGATGAAACAACCGGCCTTTAATGTTGTTAATGAAAATGAAATTACAAATAACTTAAATCTCGAAGCGTCACTTAAAATTAACGCATTAGATTGGCTGACGCAACAAGCGTCTGCAAAAGAACGAATGAATGAATTTTATTGTCTGTAACAGAATTAATAAATTTGGAGTTGTGTCGACGACCTATCATTCATCCTAATTTAATATGAAACAATCGACCTGCTTGCTATAAAAAGATGTATTCAGCTGTTCTCTTTTGCAATCATCTCGAGAGAGTATCTTCGAAAAGGTGAAAAGAATCGGAAGTGACTGAAGCGTCATGTCGTGCAGGCTATGTCGACTCTTTCGATCAGTCGATTGCGAACGGTAAAATTGGATCGATTGACTGGAGATGAAGGAGAGAACGAAGGTATGGGATAGATTTTGATATCGTCGAGGTCAGGAATGGCGAGGTCAGTTAAAGTCAATAATGTTGAGATATCCAGGAAGAGACCTAAAGCACCAGAAAGTGTCACCTTGTTGAGTTTTTCTAGGAATACTACACTCTTCATTCCTCTCTCTCTCGCTCTCTCTCCCCCCCCCCTCTCCTCTTTTCTTCTCTAACTTCCGTTTTTGTTCGATTTTTTGTTATAACGAAAGTTACATTTTACGAGAATTTCACAGCTTTGTATTTAAATCTTGATGAATAGAGAGCGAGTGAAAAAAGCCTTTTTCGGTGATCTTTATTTTTTTTTAACTTAACCAATAGATCGATATTAACATTATACATCTTATTTTGTAGGTTCAAATACTTATATTTTTCATACTAAAATTTTTTCTATACAATCAATATCTTTCGTTCTAAAATTTTTTGTTCTAAAAAATTTTGTGTTTTTTGTAACTTTCCGAATTTTTTTCGCATATTTTCCACATTAAGTCACGAATCTCACATATACATTTCTCTTTTGATGGCCTTCCGAAGCATTTCGTGAAAAGAAATGCTTATCCTACAATATTTTTGTTGTAAGTCTAATTCTATTAGACTATAATATATAAAAAAGATGTGTAAGTTCCGAATTACTCGTAAAAGATCTTCGTGGAAATAAAAATAAATTTTATTTCAAAATAGTCTTGTAATTATTTTTAAACATAAATTTAAGTAAATATAAAATAAAAAATATTTGCGTACATTATTATAGGTATATCAATGTAATCGAATTCTGTAGCATTTATATGGCTCATCACAGGTGCCTTGCAATTAATCCAGTGTTGCGAGTATATCGCTGATTTTGAATGCAAACATATAGTTGAGATATAAATTGCAAATTGTAATTTGATGCTCAAAGTAATTTAGAGCGTAACTGCGATATCGAGAACAGAAAAAAGTTTGAAGAATATAAGAATTATATTGAAATAAGAATTATAGGAGCACACGAAGAGGCAGATCGGATTGTAAATTTACTATGAAGAGCGATAGATGTAGCGGCGATCGGCACTGTCTTGCAGGAATTCGAAAGTTTGCGCATATAATAGTGGCGTATAGTTATGACAAATTATGCACGGACTATTTATCGATCAATATGATGGTAGACAATGTACTTTACGATATTGTACTCACAATTTACAGTGTACTTTACGATCTTCTTGTTAGAAGTAACTGTAACATTCGAAGCAATTGGAATAATGTTGCAAACGTCATTTGACGAACTTTTTGAAAGTGAAAATGATGGACTTTTTATAGAAGATATAATAGCGTTTTATTGATGAGATAATAATTGAACTTTTATAATTGATAATAGCAATTTTATATAACTTTATTTATTTATTTTATCTTAAATTATTTACGTGTAAATTTTATATTACTGTTTACTGAAAGTGAGTTGCTCAATAAAGAATGCGTTACAACACAATCCTGCATCACAAATCGTCGAAAAGACATTTAATACAACCTCTATTCCAGATTCTAAATAAAACTTCTATCTTCTCTGGCGCATTAGAAAATAATAGGTTTCTGAAGAGACCCATGGCACGTAAATAACTTTTCGATCTCTCAATTTCAGAGGTGAAACTAGAACTGGAAGACCTGATGTCTGACATCAAGAAAACCGCTAACAAAGTGAGGGCTAAATTAAAGGGTAAGTTATTACAGTTCGGATGTTTCACAGTGACACGATGACATGTATTAAATTGATCGATCCCTCGCGATCGTTGAGAGTACATTTCGCATTGCCACACCCAAACCTTGTTTCCCATGTTTAGTGATAGAGCAAAACATCGAGCAAGAGGAGCACACCAATAAATCGTCAGCAGATCTAAGGATACGCAAAACCCAGCACTCGACGTTGTCTAGGAAGTTCGTTGAGGTGATGACGGAGTATAATCGAACACAAACCGATTATAGAGAGCGGTGTAAGGGAAGAATACAACGACAGCTCGAGATCAGTGAGTATATGTATGTCGATTGGCCGCATTGCAACCTAAATGCTTATTCGAGCAGAACATCCCTTTCCAATCTGTTGTCACATCGAGTCCATCCCGGAATATTCGCTCATCAATCTAATGCTCGTGTTCGTTTCTATTTGAAGAAATACCGGGAGAAGATATAAAACGGTTGTTGTTATCAAAAATTTTCATTTTTGATGAATCTAATTAAATTTTCCTAGGATTATTACGTTTCAAGTTTTCAGTTCTTTACTAGTTTACTATATTTATAATTTCCTTACATTTTTTAATGCTGTAATGAGAAGGCGATAATCATAATGATGTATAATATAAATTTACAACTGTAAATGTGTAAACAATAATTATCTCAATGAGATCAATGTTTATATATCGATATTTATGGTCTAAACAATCATTTTATTCGTTGAATAAATAATAGCGCTAGCGACTTGACGGAAAATTGATTGCATTCGCAAAGTTAAGTTGCGTTTATTTGCGAAACGAAGGAATTTCTCTATTATTTTCCAGCGGGGAGAACAACCACCAATGAGGAACTCGAGGAGATGCTGGAACAAGGAAATCCAGCCGTTTTCACGCAAGGGGTACTGACTTGATGATTTTACTTTTGCGTAGTAGTCTTATTAGTAGCTACGTGAGAAGCTTTAATAATTGCCTTTTTTTACTGATTAATCTTGATTCAGATCATTATGGAAACGCAACAAGCAAAACAAACCCTTGCGGACATCGAGGCGCGTCACGCTGACATCATTAAACTCGAAAACTCCATCAGGGAGTTGCACGACATGTTCATGGACATGGCCATGTTGGTAGAAAGTCAGGTAAGGTTGAACAGCTTTATGCAAATTTATTTCGGAAACAGTTTACCTATTTAAACAAATATAATTATACCAGTGTCCCTTTTTTTTTAGTATAAGAAATTTTCTTAATAACGAGATTCATGTTGCATGTAAAAGATTTTATATATCTTTTTCATTATTATTTTTAGATAACAATTTTCTCTCTTGATTTTCTTTGATTGATATAAATGAAAGAATAATGCTCTGTCACAAGATACATAACTTATATGCAAATTGCATGTGTCATGTATCGCAAATATCATGCAACATATCAAAGATATTTATCATGAACATTGATTTACTTTATTATGTTGCATATACAAATGATAAAAATCTAATTGTAACAGTAATTAAACATTGCTGATAGGTTCGGATCAATTCACATGAGATTACAACTATTTTCGTATATACAAATATAAATTTACCGTAGAAATTCATAAATTGGTTAATAAATTTAACTTTTTTATTGCAGTAGGTAATAAGTTGATGTATTATAATTGGAGAAAAATATAATAAAGAGAGAGAAGAAATTCAGTCTAATTGAAAAAAATGTATGTAGCTGAGAGAAAGGAACTTTCTCGCATTATATAAACATTTTAATCTAATTTCTTATGATAAAATAAAGATTAAAATTCTGTTGAGAATATTTTCAGTAATGACACATTTTATATATAACGATGGTTTATTTTGAATGTATTAAATGAATAATTGTTTATTTTTAATTTGTTTATTTAAGAAAATTTATTTGACGTGATTTTATTTTCAAGCAAAGAGAATATTTTTGTCGAACTCTGTCAAATACACGTTTCAATTTATTTTTCGACTCAATCTATCGATTTGATTAACGAATGAGATGCTTTATTACGAGGTGCTTGAGCGGCATCGTTCTTTGCAATTGATTGCATAATAAGCCACATATTAAATAGTTGTTTTGCTGATTTTAATTGATATTATAATTTGAAAAGTACGTCCGCCTAAATTATATTATTTTTGTATTAGTTACCCGCGATTGCTTTAATACATCAATGATCCATAAGCAATTAGGAGCGTAGCGCGACGCAGTGTAACAACCCCTTTTCTTTAGTAATATTTCTTAGTGAGCCGCATTGTGACTGCTAATCAAAGGGAAATTTTTTCAGGGCACTAAAATCTCAAGTTTTCTCGAGGAAATTTAATTATTTATTTTATACATCTTTTTTTATTAAATAATTATTACTTTCTCTTTGATGTCTATTTAAAACTTTTCCGCGAAAAATTGGAGGTTTTAGTTCATCGCTTTCTTTCTCTGCATGACATTAATTAATAAATAATAATAACAATAATATTATTAATCTTTATTTGTCGTGATACTGTTTGTCTAAACTTAGTGATCTTTTTTCGCACAGTGAGACAAAGTAATTACCGCAGTAATTTACACTCACTATCCTTGTAAAGAAAAATAGCTTTTTGATACTGTCATTTGAGAATATCAATTCAACAAATCACAATTCTGAAATTGTTATTCTAGGAAAATTTATAATTTTTACTTGTAATATTTTTATAATTATTAATTATATTTTTGTTATAAAGCAGTAATTTTTATATAAACGTCATTGATTCTTGGCGATAATTACTTTTCTCGTTATCGATGCCAGTGTGCAAACTGATGCATGACAATAAGAAAAAAGTGGCGCAATAAACAGTTTAATCACTAGCCTTGCCTTACTCTTGAGGACTAACACTCTCTCTTCCCTTGTGTTACGCTGTGTGGATTCGCGCCGCGCCTCCTACCCACATTAGGGCGAGATGATAGATCGCATAGAGTACCACGTGGAACACGCGGTGGACTACGTGCAGACAGCCACGCAGGACACCAAAAAAGCACTCAAGTATCAAAGCAAAGCCCGACGGGTGAGTCCTCCCCAGATATCACGTCTCGAAGCCATTTCATTCGCGTCTAATTCGTCACTCTTGTTTTTTTTTCTTCCTACTGTTCCTGCATCCTCTACCCTTTGTATCTCTTGATTCCCATTTTGTTTTTTTTCACCTCGTTTTCCTCATTCCTTTTATATCAAACCCGCTCTACTAATGTTATCCGCTTCTATTGGTACATATCTCGCTGCAATCTGTATTAATCGATGTACATCTACTCCACACTTACTCGCCTCTCTATGCGTAAACAATTAATGACGGCGCTTTCTTCCTGTTTATTTATTGTGTATGTTACTTTGCCGGTCGTTGGTATTCGTGTCAACTCGCGCTCGTAAACGATATATAAATGTATATATCTATATTACACTGTATACATACATACATACATATATATATGTATATATATATGTGTTGTTATGTGTATACGTGTTATACTCTCTCTCTCTCTCTCTCTCTCTTCCCCTTTTTTCTTCCTTATACCTATACATTGCTCTCTGTACTCTGTCGAAACATGGGTGTGCTAATTGTGTGCCTCTGTCCATCAACTGCTCTGTTTACTACTATTACTCATACTATTAACCTTACGTATTAATCTCTATGCTGTCAATACTAATATGGGTACGTGTGTATAACTGTGTTGATGTGGAAAATATGACGGTGTGTATGTGCCTGCACATACATGCGCGTACGACGCTGGGAATGTGGCATTCTCTTGCTGCGGGGATGTTGCTTCTCTCTCTCGCCGATTATGTGTACATAAATGTCATCCTGGGTGTACCCATCCCTGAGGTTGTTCCCCTCGACGAGCGAACCTGGTCCCACCTCGAAATCCTCCTTCCTTTCATGTCCATCCCGATCTCGAGTTCCGTCCTTTGTCCCACGTGTGGTATGGCAGGGTGAAATGATGGACAGCATTGAGTACTGCGTGAATCAGACCGGCGACCACGTCGGCCAGGCCCGGGGCGAGCTGATTAAAGCCGAAGAGTACCGATCCAAGGCTCGTAAGGTAAAAAACATCAGACACCAAACACAGCTGAAACTAGTCAAATCTATTTCTCGCGTAATATTGAGAAACGAAAAGCCTTCCGAGGCAAGGAGCAGATTTCGCGAGTTTCGGATCAGCTCGATCGACATGAACGCTGCTAACTCATGATTAAGTTTAAGAAAGAAGTTGATACTTTATCTGAAAGTGTTATCAAGAAAATACGGTTTTTTTGTTTAATATCGACATCGCGAATTTGTGAGGTAATAATTTCTTTGGAATCCATCGAAGAGTTGTCTTTTTCCGTGAGTCAACTCAGGATTTACTGAACACTTTTGAAGTATATTTGCAATATTTGCGATAAGAAATCGTTTTGCTTGGCGGCGTTCATCAAAATATGATATGTCGAATGAATAAAGTCCGATGGAAAGGAGCAAAAAGGAATAAGTGTCTATTGAATGATTGATTCGAGAGAGATTTATTCAAAATTTTATGAAATGCGACGGCGGACTTGAAAATATCACAGAGTAATATTTTTCTTTTGCATCGTTATCATTTTCTCTTCTCTGCTCCGCGTTGTCTTCCCATAAAATCTTGATCTCTCTCGCCATTATGATTCTCAAAGCGAACATTTTCACTTGGAAATGCATTCACTTGACCGTAGGGGATAAATGTTCAAAATAGCAAAAGACTTACTGCGATTTAAGAATGCCTGTCCAGAAAAATATGATATTTTGTTTGTATGCAAAACACACAACGTACACACACAATAAACTCCTATAAATATTTTCTTAAATTATAAGGCACAGAATGCGTGTGCGCGTGCATGCGTGCGTGCGTGCGTGCGTGCGTGTCGATTTTAATGATATTTTGATTGAGTGTAATATGTACATTGTTAAAAAAAATTTGCTTCCATTACATGTAACAGAAACAAATTTCTAGCAGATACATTAAAAACATTTAAATGTTATCAATGAAAATATTGAGTCACAAGTAACTTAACTTTAATGTTTATATGCACACACACATTAATAAATTTTATTTATATCTACAAAGAAAGAAAAATTCAATAAAATTGTTTGAAAAGTACAATGAATTTCATGTACATGTACACAAATATTCTTTTCAATTATTTCAGATACATTAACTTTATTAATGTTATAAAATTGAATTTAACTTGTGTAACTTAAAAATATACATTAAATTTCATGTTTTTTTTCGACAGAGTAGATATAAAGTTACTGAAACAACAAATTTGAGAAATATTCGAGTATCAAAGATGATTTTAAAAATACTTGATTCGAAATGAAATTGCTGAAATTCTTTTTTGCTCCTGAAATAATTCCCTTCGTTCTAATACTACCTACGATCAGGCATTTCGCATCGAGTGGGATCTGAACCTTGTTTTTTGTGATTGACTTTTAATTTTGTGTATAGCGTACAATTGCACACGTACTAATTATATCACTGCACTATTCTTTGTGTTACGTTTGCGACAGTATGTTCCGCGATCGAAGTCCATCGTGGGATCGCGGTAAAAGAGATGAAGTGTAATAGTCGATGTCGAATAGATTAATAGTACAAGGATAGATGAATGCACTGTTCTGTAGATTGGCACAGAAACGATGTAATAAAATAGGTAGCGGAATAAACAAGTCTTTATTGTCGGGTAGAATGGTTTGGTATTTGTGACTAACTATAGTTTGTGAACGCACCCGCATCATTAGTTGTATGTAGAATGTGCTTGATTATGTTTGACAGCCAGCTCACTCTCTCTTTCCTAAAAGTTATCGTCATCCTGATGAAAATATAAAGCTTGTCGAAGCGTCAAAGAAGTGCGAACAAAGAATTTTAACGCTTCTTAAACACTTCGTTGACTTTCTATTGACTCTTAGTGGTTTTGAATTCATATACACTCCACGAACTCTCCCCAAACATTCCGTAAAGTGTGCTCGAAACACATCTGTCACATTTTCCATACACATACACGTTTTAAATATTTTTTTATTAATTCATACGCTCCTCAACACTCCGCAAAGAATGCATGGAGTGTACTGATACATTTCCTAAACACTTCATTCATTAGTAACTTGTCTACGCTTCCTAAACGTTCGGCAAAAAGTGCACGGAGCAGTCAAATACACTTCGTGTACGTTTCTGGGATATAGAAATAAAAAAAATTATTTTAAAACGGAGCGTCATTGAGCTGTACCGTAAATGTAAATGAAGCGTCGTTGAGTAGCTTCTAGAAGGAGTTAGCGAGAACTAACTTCTCGAATTTAAAAATTCGCACAGACTAGGATAAAAGACGTAGCATTGTAACATTTTTCAGTTGTGTTCTAATGAAATAATTTTTTGAAGTGAGCCCCTAGGACTCCAAAAAAAAAGCATAGCACTTTTTTTTAGATATTTACCGAATAAATAAAATATATTTTAAAATATCATTTGCTTACCAAGGACCTCGATTACATTTCATTCACGTTCGTCTAAGAACTCGATGATGCTCCGTTTACGTTCTCTAGACTGTCTAATCACCCTCCGTTTACAATTCAACAAACATTCTGCTCGTGCTTGCCGAAGAACTTATCTATACTTGTATTTATGTTTCTTTAACGTTTAGCTTCCTTTACGTTTCATGTTCCAATTTTCGCCCTTTACGAGTTTCATTTACGTTTCCGTTACTCTCTCCTTACACTTCTTTTACACTTCAATTAACGCTTTATTGACATTCGCTTTACGTTTTATTTTCATCAGGGCAGTACTACATATTCTACATACTACATACTTTACATACTACATACTCTACATACTACATACATTAGTAATGACTATTTTTAAATAATATACATTGTTTTATTTCTGTAAAAATTTAGTAAAAAAAAATTTACCCAAATTATTTATTTTTTTTTATAATTCTAGTGAGGGCAGTAGAGGGTAATTGTTTATAATAATGGACAACCTTGACTTTGATATATGTTGTCAAGGTCGTGACCCTGAATGACCTTGACCTACTCGTTAACAAGTTTAACAAAATAAGTTTTATAAATGAGTTTAATTTTATGATGGCTTTCCACGCGAAGCGAGATTCATCTCATCTCCCCCAGGGGTATCCGACTTTCCACCGCGAAGCGAGGTTCAGCCCATTTCTCCCCCTGCCTAGGAGTGTACGACTTCATATGCTTGTAGATCTTACTTCGCGTGAAAAGTCGGACGCGAGGTAGGATGGACCTCGTTTCGGGTGAAAAATTGTATAGACGCATGATACTAAAATTGCACTTTAACTGTAAGGCTCAGTTCCACAACTCACGGTTAATTCTAGAATTGGAAATAGATGGGAAATAAGTTAGGCCTCGGTTATTAAGAGTTAACCGTGGGTTGTGGATTTGGACCTAAATATCTCAGAAACTATAAGAGAGCATTACTTAATTGTTAAGGTAAAATTACTCGAGATGATGACTTTGACAATATATATCAAGGTCAAGCTCATCGGGGCTGGTTCCACTGTAAATAATTCCAAAAATTTACTTTTCTTTGGACATTCCCAAGGCATTTATGTGTTCATTTTATTAAAATATTAGACATATATATCGTTGGGTTCCATATTTTCAGTTTTTTTTTTCTTTCAAAGTTACTCGCAAAAATGTTTAATTTCGCGTCACAATAAAATTATTGTCGTTATTTAGCTCTAATACTACTTTGTGACTAATTACAAATTTTTTCCCTCGTATTTTAACCGTTTTATTATACGAGTTAATATTAAAGGGGAATATTTTTAATAAAGAATTTCTAGCAAAGTAAAAAGTACAGACACGCATCGGGAGAAATAAGATTTTCCTCTGTCTTTTTTTTTATCACTTGTATGCGGTAATGCAAGTCAGCATGAACGAACACGTATTCGCTTCTTGCATTCTTTTTTCCACCGCTTCTTCTTCCGTAAGTTTCGAATTTTGATTTCCGATCCACTGCACTCGTACAATTGTAAAGTTTTATTCTTCTCTTTCTTATTTCGCCGTCACCGAAAATATTCTTCACATTTTATTATTTCTCTCTTTACTTTTCCAATTTTTCGAAGGTACGTATTTACGTGTCGCTTACTTACAATTTACTCACGAAGCTCGGCGCGTAACGTTATTTCGATACACCCTCACTATATCTTTTTCTCTCTTTGCGATTTCTTCAATTCTTTATCGACGTAGGCGTATATGGGCGTACCTGATTTGTGGCCTTCTCTGCTTTTCTGTCCACAGAAAATGATCTTCATCATAATCTGCGTCCTAATATCGGCGGTCATACTAGTCGCCATAATAGTAGGGTTCCTTCCAAGAACCTAAACGGCCGAGGGGGGTGTTTTTTTGTAGGGGAAGGAAGGGTATGGGTGTCAAACAAGAAGAGTTTAAAGATTTTGAAAAAGAAGGTAGAGAAAGAAAGGGAAAACGAGTGCATCGCGATAGCAAAAATGTCATAATAATAATATTAATAGCAGTAAATATAACAATAGTAAAGTAACAATAATAATATATGCAGAAACTTAGTTGCGATCAACTTGGGGAGAAACGCATAAGATCGGATGTGCAGTGTAATTAGAAGTTTCGTGGTAAGGGGAAGGGAATAGTTATTGTGGAAGAATTATGACGCATGGAAATCGCTTAGAGTTGTGAACGTATCTTTAAAGTCGCACTAAGCCAAAAAGACAAAGGGAAATAGAAATGCTAATAAAATGGATGTCCCGCGCCGATCCTAATAACACGTTTCTCCGTAATCTTACGCCGATAATCCTTCGACTAATCTCTGTAACAAACGACTAATTAACGTAATAATCTGCACCATCGTATCCGCTCGTTTCGTTAATAGTACACTTCATTACGCCGCTCGATGTTCCTCCGAATTGTGAATGTCTTAAATCGACGACGCGATGTCGTCGACGTGTTAACTAATCTCAGTTTCGGGGTACCCGTCTTGTCAGTTTTATTTGTGCAAATAATCGATAATTGTGCTTGTGATTAACCGCAGAAAACTGTGAAGATGTGGAACCCAGTTTCTGGAGGAAATTCGAGATGATTGTCGGTAATTTTATTGATACGCATTCGTCATTTGCCATTTATTTGACGAGAAGTAACAAAATTTTTGTTCCGTACTTCGAGACACATGAAATTAATTGGCGAAGATGTACATATTCAACAATACTTTAATTCAAGTTTTTTTCTATTTGTCATGTATATTTATGTATATGTGTGATATATATACATAACTCTCTAAATCTGAATCAGTGGATAGTCACTAATTATCCAGTGGCGTACTTAGCACTGACAATCAGTAAAGTTCAACTAAAAAAGAAAGAATGTTTGAGCATTATATAACTAAAATACTGACATTTGCACGTTAATTTCAATCTTCCAATACCGTATTCATTGAATTTAAGCAATACATATCAATAAAACAAGGTTAGTTAGATCACATGATAAAGATTAGCTAGATTAGGGATCTCGTGTATATTTAATTCACGGATTACCAGTGGCATACTTGGCACTGATATCAGCGATTATCCACTCTGATTCAGTTTTAGAGAGTATAATATATGTTTATATGATATGCTTTTATTATCATTGGATTGGCAAATAAATTCATTCGGTTTTTTAGGATGAAATAAAACAATTTTATACATATTCTATTTTTAAAAGAATTGGCAATTATACTATTCAATAAAGCAAAGTTCAACATTAATTATGCGGAATTAAGAATCGGTTTTTTAATTGCGGTACGATGATTTTTAACGGAGTTATAAGCGATCAGTCGGAATACTTTTTTACTTAATTCGTGAGTAACTTAGTAACAAAAAATCGTAGGAACATTTTTTTTAACAAGTTTTGAGGGGAAGCTTTTATTTTTACACGTTTTTTTTTTAGCACATAACAGGCCCAAAGTGGAAAGAAAACTTTCCGTTCTTTCAGCTCGTAGTTTTTTATAAGTAAAAATAAACAAACTTACGTTAAACTAAAAAAATATAATAACCTTCCAAAAAAGTAGCGATTTCAAGCTTTAAAACCCCTTTTTAAAATTTAAATTTTGTTTTAACTAAAATAATGTGTATACAATTTAAACTAACAAAACTGAACAAATTTATTTGCCAACCCAATTATATTTATCAAAATTCGATGAGGCGCGTATGTATTTGCGTGAATGTATTAAATGTCCTCCAAGTTTTCTGCATTTGATTATATCTATAAATTTTGTGAATAATCCGAATGCTAAATCCAAAATTTGCAATTTATTCGTAACAATATATAGTATATAAATGTTTAAAAAACCAATAAAATTTCTGTTAGTAAAGTATTAGTTCCATATTATTTGATGGATTCAAAGATGGCGAAGAGAGAAGTATGGAACGTTCCGTGTTAATAATATCTATTAGTCTTTGAATAAAAATAATAAAATGTGGAAAAGATACCGGAAGAATATTATCCATACATATTTCAAAGGCAAATGCTGGATGAAGAGCGTAGTAAATAGCGTTTATAGATGCGTTTAATTAAGAATCTCTCTGATATATAATTAAACGCTCGAAGTCGGAACTGTCATTTCATCTCGAATGCTCATCCAAAACCGTCGCGATTTCAGTTCAATCTGCCATTTCGTTTCATCTTTTCTTTTCTTTTTGCTTTGTTTTTTTTTTTCAAGCGATCATGCAATTATTTTATTTTACAGAAATTGTTCCTGATATCGATCTGCGTGACGATAGCAGTCATCATTCTGATTATCATTTTGGTAGTTAGTTTAAGTTAGCTTAAGCATACGCACGCGACATTGGCGATAGAAAAAAAAAAATAAACATATTCGCAGAGTAAGTTTAACGGAATGAAGGGGAAAAAAATAGAACAAATCGGGACGAGACAAGTATTTTGAATTGCCGAAATATTCGTCATTCTTGTCTCGTCTCTCCGATGATGAGAAACGAAGATCGACGCGGACCACGTCCATCTTGAATTTTCGCCGGGAAATTCGGATAGCGCGATACGCATCACCGATCTCGAGGTATCGTCTACGCAAGATCGTTAAGTTTATTTATTATTGAATTTTAATAAATTTTATGTGTTTATACATTTATTAGTCTTAAAGAATTTACTTTGTATTCTCACGATTATTCTAACCGCGGGTTAACCAATATATTGTGTATCGAATGTGATGGTAATCAGGATCCATCGTGCGGATGTAATTTTCCGGAAAAACGTCTCGATGGATATCGCAAACGTCATAACGCCAGAGTAGAAGTTAGGAACGGTGATAAAACGTGCGTTATAAGTCTGGATTACACGAAGAACAAACTATCACTTTATTAGCGAAGATTGTAATCAAGTTCCTTCTATCTCGTTTTGCGCCTCAATACGTTGGAAAACGCGTAAAACCGCGATATTAATTTTTATTACATTCTTTCGAAGAAACTATATCTTACCGATTGCGAGAAGAAATTGAGACAAGAATTTGTATAAACTTGCAGAGCGACGGTTCTTGAAATTAAAAAAGAAATATACGTATATAGTGCTTGTACAAATTAAATACTGTATTTGTTTAAAATGCGCGCGTGCACTGCAAGTTTACGTTAAATGGATCGTAGAAATGGAGATAAGAAATGCCGAGAAAAATGATCGAAGTCGGTGTTTTCTTTGGAATGGAATGGAGATCGCCATCACTGATAGCTTTTCCTCGCATTCGGGCGTATCTTCACACTGCCTTTTATTATTTTTTTCACTTTTATTATTTTTGCCACTTCATCGTTCTTAATCCAAGTTCTGACGTGAGCGAGTAATAACGATGGCGATTGCACAATCGAAAATCACGCGCGACATACGAGATCGAACACATGCGCCCTTTTCCAAATCGTCTTCAGAACGAAGCTCGCCGTCGATTTGATACGAAATGCAGCGACAGCAAACTGAACCATTCGTGATTTTCATTTCTCTTTCTATATTTATCACCAACGAATATTGATTTTGACTACCGTGTCACTGGAGGAGAAATTATTAAATGTCAGCAATCTATAAAACAGTTCAGAATCACTAAAATAAGACCTCAATATATTTTATATTCAGAATTGTCACTCTCATAACTCCGTTCTCTAAATGAATAAATAAAGATTAAAATATGAAGGCAAAAGTTATCATATTAAATTTAATTTTTTTAAAATCTGTTCGTTAAATTCTTCCAGTTTTATATTGAGATCTTTTAACGTCGATTAAGAAAACACCCTTGGAACGTAGCTATAACGAGCGCGAAAATATTCGACTTTACATTATAAATTTTTGTTTTTGTCCACTAACCAAATTGGTATTTGATGTCGGCGCAAATTGTTTGTTGTCGCCGCAGATTCGTTTGATATCATTAAGTCAGCAATACTCTTTAGATCAGACTTGTCCAACACTTTACCAGCAAACTATAAACGCTTTCACCTCTCGTTAAGTAAAACGTTTACGAACAAAATGTTGGAGAAGTTTGCTCTAGATAATAGAAAAGGCAATTTGAATCGGCGCGGGTGGCGCGAGTTGGAGTTCGACGCTTCCGTATTTGTCCCAGAACTGATCGATCGTTTCTGTGCGAAATGTGACAGAGACGTTATCTTCTTCACGCTCGCGTATTTTAATTCTTGTCTGGACGCGAGAATTTCTGCTCGGTCGGGACATTAATCCGCGTGATAACGACGTGTTTCGCGATACGTATGTATGCTCCAATGAATACTTAGATATCGATCACCGTCGTCGCAATGCAGACCGCACGACACGATAATGGTGCCCGTGGCATTGTACATGTAAATAATCGTAATTTGTATAGAGCAGATGATAATAATAATAATAACAAGATAACGAAAAAAAGAGTAACAATATTAATCATTAACGCGCCGATATAGTATAATAAACATTTTCTTCTTCGGATGTATTCAGCGTGAAAAAAAGAAACTGTTACACATAGATAGGAGAATGGCGGTATGGTACGTCTTTGTTTCTCTGTCGTCTTTATTGTACTTGCCGCCTCTCACGGAGAAGGAAACAAAAAGGAAATTGTTCGTTAGTAAAACACCAGGTGCGAATAAAATGAGATGTAATATAATTAGCGCTGACCGTACGAAATGATAGTAGAATCGCGAAAATAATAGAATTCATGTCGCGTTTTATACAAGATATAAGAGAAAAGAAACATCAATGCGTTCGATCGAGAATTAATTCACGGTGGATATTAGATATAAATTTCCTTGGCGGAGTATACTTGCTGCGAAGACAAGGAGAGAGAAAAGCGGGATAAGATAAATTAGAAAAGAATCTAAGAAGATGCACCATTGAAGCTGCACGGAAACAAGAGGAAATTCTTGGAAGAAAACGGACGTTAACGATGTCGATTAATGAAGGTCTGTATTCCTGCTTTTTCCGATTGATACTGATCTCTTTGATCACCTTTAATTTCTATCTCATTTCTCTCTATTAGATGTAACAAAAAGACCACGAGATTTCATTACTGATAATATCGCGAAAAATATTTTAATTACTAACAGAATAGTGTCAATTCTATGATTGATTACTTTCTCTCATGTACAAGGCGTTTCAGATTTCTCCCACTTTTTATCATCTCTAAATTTTTCGACCAGTCGAAGTAAACAATTTTGGAGCGATTTTTTCTTAGTTAAGATTTAATGTCGTTTTTTTATCAAAAATCAAATCAAAATTAATTAAAGAATTTGTAAATAATGGGTGAGATGAAATATTTGTGACGTCTTGTATATATACACATTGAAGATAAGATTATCAAAATTAAAAACATAGTAAGGTAAAGTTACTTACTTATTAGAATTACATCATATCCTAACCGTTGAAGCAATTCAATTTAAAAATCGGAAGTCTACACGTTGCGAGAGTCAACCGTTCAATTGCTATTTCCGTCGGATACGTACAGTTACATACTCATGCATCATTTTTTATGCAGGCCACTGCAACGTGCATCGTCCGTGCCGGCAACGAGCAAGAGCTTATTTCTTTCAGGTATTTTACTATATAATCGATCGATAAGTAAACAATTGTAATGTGTAATGTAATGTATAATGTATTAACAATGGACAGAGAGCACACAGAATAAGAGGCAGATGAAGAGAGAGAAAGAGTGAGAGGACGGGGGGAAATAGATGTGAGAATAAAGAAATTTAGGAATGACAGTTAGGAGAGAGAGAGACACACACAGACAGAGAAAGCTTTATAATAAATTATATTAAACTTTAACGATCTCTGTTAATGCCGAGTGCAGAAGAAGATCATGATCATGATTTGCCTCGCCGTATTGGGCGTTGTCGTCGCTACCACCATCGGTGGATATTTCGGACTGTGAACGCCAAACCAGGTACGTGCCAGAACGCGTGACATTTGATATTTTATTGTATTGGGAATGTTCAGATAACGATAAGAATATATGTGAATAGCCGTTTTATTAACGCGTATATAGTTGTTGTAATTATTATTTTTGATTGCTCGCTGTTGTGTTGAAATAATATACAACGGTATGTACACTTATGGACTAAAAGATGCAACACTTTTTTTCAATGAGTTTTTAATGGGCTTTCTTATTTATCTATAAATAACAATCAATCCTTCGGTGAGTTCATTCCAAAACCCATCGAAAGTGTTACAACTTTTTAGTCTGTGAGTGTACATAATTTTTAACTTCAGAAGCTCTTAAAATTAACTTTTTTACGTTTCATCACTTACTATTATCAATAACACTAGTCAACAAATAAAAAAATTTTTTGATAATATGAGTAAGGTGGTTTTTAATCGTTTTTGTTCACTGAATACGAAAATATTAATAAAAATTTTGTAGCACGTATAAATCTTTTGTTATTGAAATATTTATTATGACATCATTTTTGAGAGAGAGAGAGAGAGAGAAGGGAGGGATATCCACTTTATTTTTCTTCAATCACTTTTACATCGCGAGATGGATTTAAAGTTCTTCTTTTCCTTCCTTTCCAACTATGTAAGAAGAGATAATGTGACGACATATACATGAGAAACCCATTTTACTTTGATTTTCAACTCATGATTGAAATATAGAAGCTTTCTTTAAAGTTTTTATAAGCCATCTACTTTGTGATTTTATAACGAAATAGGGAAACACATAACATAATTTATTTCATACATTTAAACAAAATCTATGGGAAGAACTTGCCATATTTAGATTTTCAAAACACAAGTCTTTTTAACTGCACAAAAATGACGTATTACGACTTTTTGAATATCAAACATGAAAAACAGAAAAGCACAAAATGTAGGTTTTATCAATGTTACCGAAATTTTGTTGACCAGTGTAACTAATAGCATTAGGCTGATAATACATTGCCATTCCAAAATCGATAATTTTTATTTTGGTAATTGCCCTGTCACTGTATGCACTCAGACGATCTTTTTGTTCAGAAAAGTCCAAAGACCAGCAGCATCGTGTACCTAATTTCGAACCGCCGGCAGCGTCAGCATTCACTCATATCGCTTCGATACGTGAGGCTGATCGCCATCAGACGAAAGAAGATCGTCATTGTCGAAGGTGCCATCATCGGCGCATTTCTGTCGTAACATCTATCATCGCTAGAACCTTCAGTCTATTACGCGCGTTCTCCAGCTCGACACGAAGAAAAGCCAAAGAGATAAAGGATCGTCGTTGCCATCGTTATTATCGTCGCCGACGTCACCATCATCATTCTCATTGTTGTTTGTCGTCGTCCTCGTCGTCCTTGTCGTCGTCGTCATCATCGTCATCATCATTATCGTCATCGTCATCGTCATCGTCATCGTTATCGTCATCGTCATCGCTGCATTGCGTCATCTTCTCATCATTCTCATTGTTGTTTGTCGTCGTCCTCGTCGTCCTTGTCGTCGTCGTCATCATCGTCATTATCGTCATCATCATTATCGTCATCGTCATCGTCATCGTCATCGTCATCGTCATCGTCATCGTCATCGTCATCGTCATCGCTGCATTGCGTCATCTTTATTTTAAAAGTCTCCTCTGATAGCTAGTGCGCTAGTTGCGTTTAATCGGAAAAAAATGGAAAGAGGCGAGAGAAACATATCCCTCTCGTTTTTCTATTCAAATATTAATTCGATAATTTTCCGATAGATCCATCTTTATATAGCAATCAATTCCAAGTCAATACTCTCCTCCTTGCCCTTTGTTCATCCTGTCACGTTGAAGCTTAGAGTGTAAGCTTCTCTTCTGTGAGCGTCCTCAATGGTCTTTTTTTCTCCTCTTTCCATGTCCCCCTGCGTGTTCTCTTCTCACGGATCATGCGGCAAAGATAATAGACGACAGAAGGCCTCGTGAATGAAATGGCCGAGAAAATGAGAGACGCTCTCATCTCTCTAGAATGCAACTAAAACTATCGATCGGAGATATGTACGCACCATCGGTTAAGCGATATCTCCGATCGACATTCTGACACAATGTCGTCCTATCGTCGACAGGACGATCACTGACACAAGGATACTGCCGGTGTTTTCCCTCTTCCTTTCCCTAATATGCGCACGAATGTCCCTGTTAAATATTACTAGACATCATTATGATACGCATTGCACGTCGGAAACGATGGTTCGCGCGACGCGATCTTCGTAGTATCTGCTTCGTTGCGACCAGAGCCCAACACCCAATGGTGCTTCTAAACGCGAAGACGATGAACGGCTCGCGGCTATCACTTTCCTTTTCGTCGCGAAAGTAACATATGTACGATGCCGTTTGAAAAGCTACTTTTTTTGACTGTGATTTGTACACCGAAAATTTTGAACAAATTACTCCGAAGTCACATTCTAAAGACGCATTTCGCTCGCCGACCTAATCTATGTCCGTTTATATACACGAGAGATAAACCGCTGACTAAAAATTTGTACGCCAAATTTGTATCGTCTAGATAGTTCACTAACTCCCGTTAGTAAATTCTCTCACGCGGTGATATAAATAGTACTAATTGATATTAGCAATTATTCATTTATTAGTAATTTCTAGCTATTTTTAGGTGTCCCTTTCTCGAAGACTTACAAGTTTCGAACAAAATTTTGTGAGCATTGCGCTCCGAGATCGACCTCTCAGAAAGAATTTCTGATACCAAGAAAAAAATATTCTTGACGTACTTTATCGGATATCGTATACACGATGTTATAACGTAATTGTATCGAAGCTCTTATGATGTAGCACGCTAGGTACGAGACTAGCAATAAGCGGAACGAGGGATCTCGTATTTTGAGTCCCGGCCGGGCTCAGTTTTTCGTCGCCGAAATGTAAGATACTAACATTTTGCAAACTCCTTTTCGCAAGAATAGCATAAGAGATTTCCTTCAGATCAGTGTTTAATGTTAAATGAAAAATATTTATGTTTTAAACTTAATGTTAAAACTTAAATCTTTTTATTAAGAAAATTAATGGGATAGCATCAAGAATATTTTATTCTAGATTTTAGAATTTTCTATTAAAGAATAACATATTCTTCTTTAAAGAACAAATATGATTGGCTCTCTATATCGATCTTATTTTATTCTAGATCGAGAAATAATAGCATTGAATACAATATTTAGTGGATAAATGGTGTTTACTGATGAAAATTCAGATACCGGATTTTACTTAAGTGGAAAAATTAACAGCAGCTAACAACAAGTGATACTTGTAAAGTTCTACTACCTCGACCAGCGGTTTAACCCTCGGCTATACATATCACGTCAATTCTGAGTATAACGTTTACGACATCTCTACACCTCTCTATATTCGGACGATTATGAGGAATCGGCTAGAACCTAGATAATGTTTTTTCTTCGCAGAAAACGGTATGTCGAATATGAATCGTGAAGTCAAATTGAAGAAGCGCGTAATTTAAGATAGATTGTGCATCAGTGTTAGCTAACCATGGTTCATCAAATTCTCTTTTCACGCACATAAAAAAACAGCAAGGTATTGTACAATAGTATACCATTAGGTTAGAAATCCTAGTTTCGTATAAGCTTAATTAAGCATTCTTCATATTCGCTGTTAGCTAACCAATACTGTTGATACAATGGCCTTCGGAATACTCGGTTAATTCACGATGGGAAGGGCATCGACGTGAGCAATGTGATTTTTATAACGGGTATTTTTTAAGTAAAAGGTGTTTGCATATTCACTGTGTGTTGTTTGTTCTACTGATAGCTTACTCGAAAAGATATTTCGACCAATAGGTGTTCAGTGAGAGAAAAACAATCAATTCTTCCAATATTTCTATTTAATAGTAATTAGTGTGATATTAATCGTGATATAACGAGGTGTAGCGATCGTATCTTTCTGTAGGCGTAAGACACGACGTCGTTTCAGAATGTGACCGGCAGAAGAGAACGAATGTTCAGGCGCGTCAGATGTTAAAATAGACTTAATAATATACGTAAACCAAATTCGTTTTTGCTTCTAGACGGTTAATTTTGCTAATGTTTTCTTTTTTTCACCGAATCGATAAAGTTTGCGGTCTCTGATTTCGTGCTGCACGATATGCACCATTAGGTATTGGGTATGACGATTATCCTTAATCGCGATTCTCGTCTTGGATAGTTTCGCGTCTTCTGTAAATCTTGACGAATCATCCTCGGCGAAAGTAATCCCTTCGTCGTGTACTTTTGCTTGAAAAGTATAAAATTGAAATTGTATTAAAATTAAGAAACATAACTTCGTTATATCTTGCTAGTCTTGAAAATAACGTAACACGATTGCGCGAATGATTGATTCGACTTTGAGTTAAATCTGCAATTAGTAGAAATAATCAAATTCATAAATTCGTTACTTTTATAGATTTTTATAACCTTCTTTATAATTTAATACATGGATTTTGAAGCTATTGTCGCGTTACCTCTAAATAACACCTTTCGTTTTTTCAAGATCAACGCATGTATTCGAAACGATTATAACTCTAATTGTAAATCTCAAATTCTCCTTGTTAAATTATACGCGGGTTCTCGAAACTAATCATGCGAAAGGTGCATCATCTTCGAAACGATTAACCCCAACATGGACGAAATAACAGAGAGAGCATGAAAAGTGTAGAAAGCAAGAGATATTACATAAGAATGAGAGAACATGTGCGAGTGTGTATGTATGTATGCGCGCATTCGTAAGAAGCAGAGAAAAGGAGCCATTTTCTCTTAAGCTGCAGCAATAATATAATTATAGATGTTATGAAAAAAAATAATTGAAGAATAATCTCATTGGCAGAGTGAAAAAGAATGAGCGATATTGTATGTACACGGATATGTATACATATACATATTTAAAAAAAATATATATATATAGATAGGTAGATAGAGAGAAATGTCATTACGGACGAGGAAGA